AATTTTTTGTTTTTTTTGTTTGTTTTTTTTGTAATCCATGATCGAATTTTATGTAATCCATGATCGAATTTTATGTAATCTATGATCGAATTTTATGTCATCCATGATTGAATTTTTTTTAAATTTGTGATTTTTTTTTTTAATCCATGATCGAATTTTTTTTTGTAATCCATGATAGAATTTTTTGAAAATTTGTGATTTTTTTTTTAATCCATGATCGATTTTTTTGAAAATTTGTTTTTTTTTTTTTAATCCATATTATTCAAAAAGAAAATGAGAGAGATGATGATTCTGAGGCCACCCTATCCCAGCCATATTATTCACATATCGAGTCCCAACAGCAACAGTGTAGGGATGAGCACGAAATACTGTAAATTAAATGTTGAATGGCGGTTCATGCAAGGAAAGAACATATCAATATTCGCATATTCATTCAAAAACATGAAAATTCTTAATGAAGTACCCTCATTTTTTATTGAATTCCTAAAAAAATAATATTTATAATGAATTTTAATACTTTTTTCGAATTTTTTTTAAGCTTTATTCTGACAGATTCACCCGATTTTCGATCCTAATCGCCAATTCGTCGATCCGGATCGATTTTTTGAAAGCCCGATCCGGGTCACCGATCCGTTTTTTAAACCATTGGTTGTAAGCTAAAAACTATGACAATGGTAAGTAACGTTCTCTTTTTAGGGTTTATTCGAAAGCTTCTCTGTAAAGCCATTCTTACAGTCTCTCTCTCTAGCTCCACAGCCATGGCCAGTGGAGATAAGACAGTGATAATTGGGGGCAGAGGCGTGGCTCTCACCTCGGAATCCATTTACGGGATCGCTCATGGCCTCTGCAATGTGCAAATTGACTCTTCTGCACTGGATAAGATATCTAATAGCACAAACCAGTCGAAACCTAGGGTTAAGGTTTCAGAACCTACTGTGAATATAGTTGAGAGCTCGAGGGTCTTATATTCACCAGAGCAATCCAGAGCCTCGCTTGCTGTGCTATTAAACAAGCTTGTATCTTCATCGAGCTCTTTGAGAGGCTCTGGTTTAGTTGTTCGAATTGTTGAGATTCTTAACCGGAAGGTTCCTCTTGCTCTTCCTTGTTCAGAATCAAATTATACTGATAATTCGTTCTTATCAGGGGATGGGGATAGGAGTTTTGGGGTTTCGAATGACGAGAGGGAGGTTTTCGAGCTGAGTTGTTCAAATATTATTGGTGTTTCTTCTCTGGTTGATCATTTTGCGGGGGCTTTCTCCACTGTTATGGATGTCATTTCTGCTCTCTCTTTTGAAGCTTTGCGTGCTGACACGTCAGTTTTCGATTTGAATGTTTCAGGTGATGGTTTCTCTCACAAGGATGAGATTGAAGTTGCCTCTGATATGCGAATGCTTCTCTTTGGTTCGAAGCTTGTTAATGGCCCGAAAATGGCAGAAAGTGAGGAAAAGGATTCTGCATTTTCTTCAATACCTTCTGCTCATGGTGGATTCAAGACCTGTGTGAAGTCCCTTCACTCCAGAACCAGAATTGAATTGAATAGTGAAATTGACACAAAGAAGAAGAAAGCCCGTTATAGGCCACATTGCAATACCCTTACTAACACAATATTGCCCATCGTTGCCTCACTCCATTCAGCTGGCAAGGCAAGTTTGGCTCGAGTCAATCTGATCATTAAATCCATTGAAAATGTCGAACAACAATTGAGAATTTCTGAGGCATTCTCTAAGACATGCACCAGTGAAAATGAATTGAGAAATGGGTTTCGATCAATTTTGTTGAAATTTGAAGAGAACAGTTCAGAATTCTTGGTTGAAGTTTCGCGGTTGTTAGATAGGGTGAAGGATATTTTCGCATGGGAGGCTGCATTGGGTTTGTTTTTACTTCAAACCATTGAGAAGGGCAGAACAAGCAAAGCTAACAATAGTGCTGTAGAAAATTCAGGTTCCATTATAGAGCCATCAGGTAGCAATGCTGTTGTTAATGGTGAAGGTGGTGAGGTTAAAGGGAAACCCAAGGGTGAAAAGAAGAAGAAGAAAAACCCAGAGATTGTTTTGGGAAAGGGAACAACTGTGGTTCATAAAATTATATCTGGGGTTATTCAACAGAGGCTGAAAAGAGAGTATGCTACTGACGAGTACGCGGAAATGTTGGTTGATTGGGCAAGCGAGATATCCTTGTTCTTTGAACCCAAGGATTCAGAACTTGCAATCCTACTGGAGGCAGTGAAAACAGTTGTCGAAAGTAATGAGACTCGGAGAATTCCTAAAATTCCTAAGGTTAGTGATGCTTTTCCCAATTTTTTTTTTTTTGAGTTTTTGTGCTTTATTATGTTGAAGAACTATATCTAGTATCTGGCCTCTAGGATTTTTAGCTGGATTGCACCCCTTTTGGTGTGTATTTAGTTCATATGCTATGCATGAGCTCATTTGTTTTATTGTGATGCGATGAAATTTCTAGTCCTGAGCAATGACATGCAATAATTTCGATGGAGGCTGTCAACAATGTAAAGCATACGTACCAATGCAGCAATATAAAAATCATTCTTATCAAGGGAAAGAATTTTATCTTGATCGGTAAGCCTTGTAACTTTGAAGATGACGGATTTTCTCTCTTAACAAAAAATAAAAAAGAAAAGGAAAAGAAAAAGGTACTGTGATTCAATCAGATGGGATTCATAGGTGCTTGCCTGTTTAAGGTGTATTTTTCGCGCAACCTAATCATGAATTGGCATCTTGTGAGTTGTGACATTAAGAACACAAACGTCATGCCTAGGCTTGAGATGTTCAGAATATGTTAAATTCATGCTGCAGTTGCATCAAGAACCCTTCCTGTCCGTTTAGTTGGTCCCAATATCACCTTATTTATTTTTCTTTTTTGTTTTTAGGTGAGGGAAGTCAATTCGATCAAGCTCGGAGATAGATGCTCCTCTCATGGACATTCCATTTTGTGAAACTAAACAACCTTGCTTCGCATATACTCCTCTCCTTGAAGGAAACTAAACCATACAAGGGCTACCTGCTCAATTATTTTGAACATTTCATGATTAAATTGTTCTGGACTTGGGTTTTGCATACCTTGTTTAGGCTGAATGCTTTAGCCAATGTTTAAAAACTCAAACTTGGTTTGGAACTTGACTCTGTCTCGAGTCGAGTCAACTCACTGAGTCTTGAGTCTACTCAACTAGTTTGCTCTTACAAACCTCAGGTATTCTTATAGATATTAGCTGCTCTGTTATAGTTGGATGAGACTCAGACAACGCTTGGACAGGACTTGGGACCCCCTGATTATTTAAAAGGCTCAGCAAGTCCTTTAAAGAATTGAGCAAGTTTTCTGCAAGAGAACTTGTTGAGAGGTTTCTAAAATGTGCACCTGCTCAAACCGCATTTACTCGGGCAAGTCCTGAATTTTATAATCAAGTTTTGAAAATATTTTTTAGCAAGTGGAAACAGAGAAGCACAAAGAAGTTGAGAAAGAAGGCAAAGGAATCATTTGATATTTCAACCTTTCTTCTGCATGCTCTTTTCTCTCCATTATGTGTGTGGTTTAGTTTGTGGGCCACATTCCCTTGCAGTTTCTTTGATTTAACATTTCATCTTATTGTACTACTATTTGAATTAAAAATATATTCAAGTATGTAAAGATTTGGATCCATTCTATTTCACATGTCACATATACTCTAAATTGCTACTCAACTGTTTACCACTTACTCAGTGTTCACCTGTGTTCCATTTGCTTACTGTATATCTATAACTCAATAGCATTACAATATTGTATACTGTATACATGTACCTGATTCATTTACTTGTATACATTATCTATGTGCCATCAGTGCTTTAGACGTGTAGAGAACTGTTCAGGGAGATCTCATGAAATCTTCTGCAATTAGACTTCTGAAATAATTTTGTTTTATTATGGAAAACTGTCTATGCCTATTTTATAAGCCTCTTTCTCACATTTTATTTCTTAGTAAAAAGTTAGTATGTTTGACTAGATTACCTTGTTCTTGTTAGGGCACTCGAGATTTTGGAAAAGAACAAATGGCAATAAGAGAGAGGGCATTTTCAATTATTGTTGGAGTTTTTAAAAGACATGGAGGAGTGGCCCTAGACACACCTGTTTTTGAATTGAGAGAGACTCTCATGGGGAAATACGGGGAGGACTCAAAGCTGATTTACGACCTTGCTGATCAGGTATATGCAAAAGCATTTCAATTTCGCATCTCTGTCTGGGGAGAATATTGACAGAAAACTAAAATTGTTTGGTGGAAAATAACATAACCTATCAATGTTAATGCATGTCAAGTTTAGCATATAGCATTTTGCATTTCATCAAAGAAAAATTGTGGGATCCATGAAGACATTAATTTTTGAATTTTGGAATGGACATGTAATTGAGTTAAAATAATGATATGAATCATGTGAGATCTTATGAATAAAAAGCACTCTTTCATTGTTAAACCCAGCATTCAACTTGCTACAAAGGGTTGGAGACTAGGAGCTCCAAACCAGTAGGCTATGGCTTGAGATCCAGCTTATCAACAAAAACTGCTATTAATGATTTCAAGGATCTCTCACACTTATTTGGGCTAGCGTAAGATATGATTCCAAGTTGGAACTTTTGTTGCTTCATTCTATGTAGAAACTGTACAACTGACTTATTGGTTGTATGCTTATGATCACAATATGTGTTATGTTAGTAGTGTTATTTGTACTTTTCAAATTACTTGTTATTAGTTTTCTATTATATTATAGTTAAACTTTACTCTTTGAACTTCATTAGATATATCATGGAGTTCTGAATTTTTTTCATGGTTACATGCCCCTTGGGCACATTTCCTTTGTTTTTCTGAATTGTATGCCATATGCTGCTCTGCGCTCCCACCAACACCCCTCCTCTTCCCAAACGCAGAGAAGGGGTTGATAGACCACCAAGGTTTGGGAAAATTTATGGAAGTATAAATAGCAGAGCCTTCAAATATTATGAAAAAATAACAATGCAATCAAGAGATATCATATGAGGAAATTGTAGCATATTCTATTCCCACAAGGGAACAACTAGAATTTTAAACAGCAGTATTCGATCCTACAAGATTTCCCTAATTTTCTTGGATTTGAATATTGGCTGATTCACAGTGGATTTCCCTGTGAATAGGTTTGATGTTCCATTGGGAATGGGTGGTTACTGAAGCATCATTGAGACCCTATGGTAAATTAAATATTTCAAAAGTGTTGAGGACAGAAACACAGCTCTGCCACACAGGGAGATTTCCTTTGTTCGAATATTTGTATACTAAATTATGGGTTTGTTCCTGTTAAATCTTAGGACCAAAATGATAAGAGAAAGTCTGGATAAGTCTGGATGGAAATTTTATGCGGTAGGACTTGGAGAGGGTGCGGGAGAGTGGTTCATTATCCAAGATGGAAGGAGATATGAGAGTGAAGAGTGATGCTACTGACGGTGAAAAGTGATGCTGGTAGTGCAAGGTTAAAAACATTGTGTGGTAAATCAATGATGAAAAGGACATCACTTGGAGGATGTTGCCGTTTCTTGTATCAGACTAGGCCCACTTTGCAAACCAATTACATTTTGGCTCCATCACCTATTGATTAGAGACAGAAAAAAATAGAAGGTACAGGGGGGACAGGTTTTCACTTGAATTTATCCCATTCAAAATGTAAATCCAAAATCCTTCTGGAGTCCCTTTTGAAACATGTGTGCCAGTATGCCACAATGTCCACATGCCAAAAGGGCCCCAAAACAGCGCCAAATCATGTGTTTTTCCTAATCATTTTCTCTTTTTTTCTGTTAAATGGGGGTGGGTTGGGTTGGTGGGTTGTTCAATGGCTATATACTTTTGGGTTGGATGCATGTTCCTAGAGAGCAGGTCTTCCTCGGGCTGCCGTAGAAGCTCTTTTAGGATACAAGTGATAAAAGAATTGAATTAGTTGCTCTTGATAGGATGTTAAGCACACCAAAACGTTCCAGCTCTGCATTATAAGGAGACTATAAGGAACACACAAATGAAGTTTTCAATATGATCCATATTTGTAAGGATCTTTGCTGATATTGTCAGGGATTCCAATATGAGGGTATCCTAGATCCTGGGACCCTGCAGTACGCCAAAGATGTCTCTGTTTACATGGCTTATATTGAACATGAACCTTCTTACCAAGGAGAGCTAAAAAGAAAGTTTTCAAAATTTTGAGCGAGACTCCTCTTTTCTAGTGGGAGAGTTTTACCATGGTATTTCTAAATACTCTAGACTTGGTGGGTTATATGCAAGGTCTTTTTGTGGTACAAAGTTTGGATGGTTGGGGGAGAACTCTCTTTTGGGGTACAAGTTTTGGACAATACGACAATTAGCGTACAATTTGTGTGTGTGTGTGTGTGTGTGAGTGAGAGAGAGAGAGAGAGAGAGAGAGAGTACGTACGTGGTAGGAGTATTAGTAGGAAGGAAGGTAAGTAGGTACTATAAGTAGTACTTTCTACGTAGGGTCGGGGACTTAGTTGGTCGTCGTCGGACCGTAACGTTAACGTT